AATATGTCAGAAGAAAGAAATGTTGTAAATGAGGAATAAACATTAATAATATGAGAAGGTGGCTTAAGCCGAGAATAAGAGCTAAAGGTAAAAGAAGGGATTAAATGGTAAATTGAAAGATTGACACTTACTTTATAAAATTTTCAATTTGTCTCCAAAATTATCTCCATAATAATTAAGCTTCACATTATAATCTAGAATCTACTCAAATTTGTAAACATCATTTTCCCATAAACTCAATTTCCAAAAAATACCAAAAACTAAATTGTATCATCCATTCATAACTCTCCAATCAATGTCACAATCATACTCCACATTAGTTGAAGCTGACAAAACACCAAGAAAAAAAAAGCCATATAATCATATCCCATAAAAGCTAGAAATGGCAATACACCACACATTACTAATATAATTATCAATATACCCTATAGCACCAAAAGCTCAATTCAACAGAGTAACATTAGCAACCTTAAATGACATATTCCTTGATTAATGATAATATGGCATTGTAATGAAACTCAAAAGTAAGAGCAAATTGATAGTTAAAATTCTAAATCTAGCAAAAAGTTAATACAAATATAAACCTAAAAGATAATGAAGGAATAAAAACAAAAAGCACAATCCAAAACATTAAAAGTAGAGTATTTTTAAAAAGTTTTATCCTCTAGAGATAAGTTATAGTGCCTTTCAATTCCACCAATGTGAGTGCTTAGGATATAGGAATAAATATGGTTTAAACTCTTTCATATACAAAAATGAATGGACAAATGGACAATGAATATATTATAGTACTATAATTAATGTATTACCTAGGCAGGGTTATATATATAGACACACACACACATGTATTACAAACCTTACATTATCTATATATTTTGAAATACAAGAATATATAGAAGAAAATATAAAATATAAATTTTTATAACAACTTACTTTATAATATAAGGACATAAAATATATGGATAGATCTCTTTTAGATATGATGGTGTTATAAAAAATGATAATTTGATATGGTATGTTTAATCAATATTATTATAACAATATCATTGTAAGAATTTGTTTTTATAGCTTAGATTAGCACTCATATAGAATACTAAAGATTTAAAGGACAAAAGTATGAAAATTTTCTATTAACATTGTAGTCTTCAAAACATATATTATTATTATTATTATTTGTTTACTATTTTTAGAACTTGTAAGCGCCCGTCATTGCACGTCACGCCCATAATTGTCAAGTTGCCGTTTTCCACAGGCCAAACTATAAGCTCTTTTGTTCCCATTTTAAATTTCCAAGCTCCAGGCGAATAAAGGAGCATGTCCGTTTCGGAGGTGCTCTAACTTATTAGGGTTTTTTGCTGCCTCTGCGATTATTTTGCCCTTCCCACAAAACCTCTACGCACAAGTTTCTTTTCTTCCTCTGTGTTCGTTCGTGGGTGGATCAAATCTTCCACGCAAAATGCCAAAACGCTTTTGTTGGTGTTGGGAGTTCCAATTTGGCTGCTTTTGAACCATCGTCTTCTAGAAAACCCAAATTCCAGTGAAGTTCTCGAGAGAGATGTCGCGAATTTAGAGCGAGCGAGCTTTCCAGAATGATTTCTCTCGCGAATGCGAGCTCTCCTTGGATTCCTCACGGCAGCTCCTCAGATTTGAGGTAGGAAATTGATGATCTTCTCAACGATTTCCCAAAGTTTATGTGTACTTGGCAGCAGTCCTGGAAATGCGATTCTTGGCATGGATGACGAGCTCGATCCCATCCTCTCCAAGGTGTTCTTCACGCAAATTCTCGCAATTTCCTCACAGATTGTTCTTTCCAGGACGACCACAATGCCGCATTCCCGGACAGCGATTGGTTTATCGCAACGCCACCACCGCCACCGCCACCGCCGCCGCCGCCGCCAATTCATCGCCCGGGAATTCTCAACGTCGAGGCCCTCCAGCTCCAATCCTTCCTCTGTCGCAGCATTTTCGAGAATTCCTCTGGGCAGCCATCCATCGTACTCGACAGCGATGGATCGATACTGCTAGACGACAATGGCCACATTGTCAGTAGCAGCAATCCAGCCGCGATCGCGAGCCCCGCCAAGAACAGGGGAGTGGGAGGAGGATTCCTGTGCTCCTCCAGCCCCCTGGGAGGAATCCCAGCGTCAGCCACTGCTGGAATTCCTGGAATTCCACTCGCCAAAACCCCCACCACTCCAACAGCGACGTGTAGCAGCAATCCGGTGGCCATGGCGATCATCTCTCCCAAGAATGCGGCCAAAATCCACGATTCAAGCAGCGGCCGCCCGAGATTTCTCCCCCCGCACCTCAATTCCTCCACCACCACGCTTCTTAAGCCACTATCGGCATCGCCGCCAAGAACTGGGGCTCGCCCCACGCTCTTCCAGAAGCGAGCACTGCGCCGGGCCGGGGAGCCACACGCACGATCGTCGACGCTGTCACAAATCCCTCCTCCAGCGGCAATCTCCAGCACGCCCGATCTGGAGAGCCCCAACATGGCGAGAGAGAAGAGGTATGGGCATCTTTTCGCCTCGCCGCCCAAGAACGCCAAGAATCCTAGCAGCGCGGCGCTGCTCAAGCGGCGAATCGAGGAGTGGGAGCAGGAATTCCTGGACGAAGACGAAGATCACGACCAGGAGAGCGGCGATGGATCCGGCGTGGTTGAGCTGGGGAAGAATCCTGATTCCGGCAAGAAGGGCGGCGGCGGCGGTGGATCAAGGAAGGGAATGCCGGCCAAGAATTTGCTGGCGGAGAGGCGGCGGCGGAAGAAGCTCAACGATCGCCTCTACATGCTTCGATCGGTGGTGCCCAAGATCACCAAGGTTCTCTCTTGTCTGCTACGGTTTATGGGAAGAATGTGGGTGCTAACATCGATCGCGCTTTGATTCGCAGATGGACAGAGCTTCCATTTTGGGCGACGCCATCGATTACTTGAAGGAGCTGCTCCATAAGATCAACGATCTACACAACGAGCTGGAAGCGGCGCAATCCGAGAAGCAAATTCCCCATTCTCTTCCTCCTCCGCCCGAATTGACGCCCACCTCCACCGCAAGGCCGCTCATCAAAGAGGAGTCATCCACGTCCCAAGCTCCCATCGCCGAGCCGGAGCAGCCAGCGCGGGTAAAATCTTTTAAAATCCTTGCAAAGTTCTTCCGAGTTCTTGAAGTTTGCGCACTTGAGACTAGAGGTTCTTCCTTTCTTGAAGTTCTTCCAAAGTTCTTCCTCGTTTCTTTGTACATTCCCTTGAAAGTTCTTCCGCCTTCTCGAAGATCTTTGTCTTTGTTTTAAACATTTCCTCGAAATATATATTCCACCTTCTTCTTCCCAAAGTTCTTTCTCGTTATTTGCTTGAAAAATCTTCCACTTTCTAGGGGTTCTTCCCAAAGCTCTCAAAGTTCTTCCAATTATTCTTTCCAAAGCTCTCTCTATTCTTCCAGAATTCGCAAAGCTCTTGTTTCGAATTTCCCGAGCGATTCTTTCAGTCTTTGAAGATTTGTCGGATTAACTTGGACGTGCCATGGATGTAGATCGAGGTGAAGATGCAAAAGGGCAAGGATTTCAATATACACATGTTCTGCGGATCCAGGCCCGGATTACTGCTGTCGATGATGAAAGCTTTGGATGGTCTCGGATTGGACGTTCAACAAGCAGTGATAAGTTGCTTCAATGGTTTCGTGTTTGACATCTTCAGAGCCGAGGTATGCTGAAAACACACGCCTTGCTTGCTTGAATCGCACCACCTTTGATCGATTTTTCTATATTGTTCTTTGCTGATGGACTTTGGATTCCTCTAGGCAACCAAGGAAGGAGAAGTTGGCCCAGAGGAAATCAAGACGGTGCTGCTGCACACTGCGGGTTGCCACAGTGTGATAGCATGAAAAACGAGAGAACGAGAGAAGAGGGAAATATTATAATCACGCGAGGATAGAAAAGAGAGGGTATTTGTATCGTATGCTTTCATTTTCCACAATGTATAAATCAATGAAGTCACAACGGCACATTTCAGATGCAATGTGTTTCAAAGAGGGGCATTCAATTGGCACGTAATGGGAAAAGCATAGAACTCTCGGATCAAGTGTTTGATAGGGATATTAGTTTGTTAGATCATCAAATTATACTTATTTGGATCGCATTTTGTCATGTCCTAAGAATTCAATGGGAGTATAAAGAACATTTGCTCCAAAGGTGCAACCTGGCAACCTCACGGAGAACAAACATCTCTTTTTCACATCGTTTTCCACTTAGCAGAAAAACGTTAAATTAAATTTTTAATTTTATTTTGTTCACTAAAATATGCCAAGATTTCTCATTAAAATTAATTAAATTAAAATTAGATGTTTGGGTTTAGGCTAACCAAATTCTAGAATATGCCATTAGAATTGGAATCTTATCCTATCCGTTGGGTTTTAATTAGGGTTCTTCGCTTGGTTGGCTATGGCGGTCCTCGTCTCGTCCTCGTCGCGCCTCGCGCTCAAACAATCGCTCACAGAGCCATTCCAGGTGAGGCAATCCCCATCGCTGGGCTTCCCGCAGACCCGCGTGGCCCCGATTGGCATCGAATGCTCGTCCAGGCCGCAGAAGAAGGCCACAGCCCACCACATCAAGTCGCGCCCAAAGAAGAAGGGCTATGACAGGAGGAGGAAGGGACCGACGCGCTACCCCCCACTCTCCGAGCGCCCCGCGATTTGGGACATCCTCACTCCCAAATCCTGGGCTCTGCGAGCATTGGGCGTCGACGACCACCCTTCTGTCAGGAAATCCACCACTGCTGCTGCTAGCGATTCGAAGGAGCCGGCCACGGTCGAGGTCGAGGTTGTTTCGTCGTCGACAGAGTGATCGATCTAAAGATCCACTGCCAGCATTTTGAGAGAAATCAATTCGCTCCCCAGGAACTTTGTTGCTCTTGCGGACTTTTTTCTCTTGTGCCACGACGAGAGAGCTTCGTGACGTATAAAACCTTCTCTTTTATTTCTTCTCACACTGTCGGTGCCGAGCTAAGGAGCCTCTCCACCTCGTCTGCTGCCTCGGCTTGGATCTTCCATTTCTGCGAGAACAGGAGATTTAAATTCTGCTACGCGGGATGAGTGAATGATCGAAATAACCAGCATACCTTTTGGAGCTCCTCGACCTCCATGAGCCCTTGAATTTGCTCTTCAATTCTCGCCTGCCAGAAGCCACCATTCATTCCATCAACGTGAAACCTGGAAAGAATGAAAGAATTAAAGGAGGACAGGAGATTTTACCACGGCCCCTGCTGTCTCGGCTGCAATAACATCCATGTCCATCTCCACTTCGATCTCAATCATCGCTGCAATCTGACACGGAGGAATTACGTGAGCACGAGGAAGGAAAAACAAAACAAAAAATGACTACGCTTGCCTTGGCGTAGTTATCTATCAGTTCGAGCTGTGCACGCAAGCGCTCATCAATTCCTTCTCTTGCTTTGCGCACCCGATCGATCCTCGCACTAAGTTTCAATTGTACGTGCTCAGAATCATAAAATATACAAGAGAAAGTGAAGCGTTCTCACCTGTACATGTCCTGGCCGACTGACTCCATTTTATTTTCCAGCTGACACATTCGAGCCAATCGCACCACCTGCACGTCGGCTGCTTTGGTAAACTAAAACTGGAATTTTTGTTCCTAACCTCCTGGACGGATGCATCCGTCAGCTGTTGAAGGCGTGATTGTAGCATCTCGTACTGCGACAAAAGCTCCTGCCTCAAGGCTATGGCATCAACACTCCTGGAAGGAATCTGAAAGCAAAGCAGTCAATCAGTAAAAAGAAAAGCAAGAGATAGATCGGGCTCACCTGATTCAGCTTAGGCAGGAGAAAAGCGTTCGCTGCACCACCAAAGACAATCGCTGCGCTAGCACCTATAACGATTGCTCGAGGCAGCGTCGGATCTATCAAAGCTGTAGCAGCATTGCTGCTGGCCAGCACAAGTGCTGCAGGGACAACGAGGGAGGTGTTGAATGCAGCAGCAGTAGCTCCGGTCTTCGGTGGTGCTCTCAAGAGTTTAGTTTCACGCCCCGTATCGTGGTTTGTTACTGCCATGGGTTCGCTCGGCTGCCAACCCGGTGTTCTTGCCGCGAAAGAAATAAAACGAAACCCCTGTCGTGCTGGAGCTGCAGATGCGATGGTAACTCTTTCTCCTAACTGCCCCGGGATTTCAGCGCTCTCAGTTGCAAATCTGTGAGTTCGAGCTACTCCGTTAGGCGCAGTTACCTGATTTAACGCCTGAAACTTAGACATATGACTGTTGTATTGCAGCTACTTACGTTAAAGGAGTGGACTGCTGAAGCGACAGGTCGCTTCATAAGTTGCAGGAATCGAAGTGCGCGCTCGAGAGCTGAAGTACTAGAACTGCCAACAGAACGTTCTAAGTTAAATGAAGGCAAAAACTTGAAGTCCAAGGCTCAGCACCTCATCGACTCTGACTCGCAGCTCGTCACATTACCGGACATGAGTTCATATTGATATCGGCATTTGGAGCATGCCACAAGCTAGAAAAAAGAAAAGAAGTAGGAAAGAAGAATGATTTCGATAAGCCATTCCCATACCTGGATTCCACACTGCGGCTGCACGACCGCCATCGCTACATTACAAGTGGGACACTTGACAACATTCCCGAAAGGAACCTGAAACAACGAGCCGATCGGTTTCGTGAATCTGGAATGACAATCAAATGACAAATACCTCATCACCCAGAGGAACTCCGCGACGTCGGACGTTGGAGACCGCTTGTATAGCATCCGAAACACGAAGAGAAGCAGCAAGACCTTTGATCACGGTGGCATAAGTAGAAACATCGGGTTGAGGCCACTGCCATGTTCCTTTCGCCTCACCAACTAATGAAAAAGAAACCATAGCGTGAGAAGTGATGAACGAAGAAGTTATAAAACAAAGAAGAACACTGACCTGACCTTGATCACTTTGGATGCGAGGTTTCTTACTCCGCATCGCATCCAGTAAAGAAAAGGCCAAATCCACATTGCCATGAGAGAATGCCGCAACGATAATCTCACAGCATTCCTCATTGCTCACAACCCGACCAGCTACCTGTGAGTCTTGCGAAGAGATTATCTTCTCCAGCGCATCCTCGGCGCTCGCGGCCGTGGCAGCCACATCCTTACACAGATTAGCGTCCAGCCGATCCAATTGCTCGGCGCAATCCTCGGACGCATTCTCCTCGGGCGTTCTTGACCTAATCGCTGCTTTCCTCCTGACCAGGGAGAGTCGCGTGCACCGTGGATTCATCCACGGGGCCACTGCTGCTGCTGCCGGATTGAGCTTCCTCTTGCCGCCATCGATCGGATTGTCGAGAAGAAATCTCCCGCTGCCGCTGCTCGTTGGTGCGGAGACGACGATCATTATCGCCTCCCACATTTCATCGTCGTCTCCAAGGGAAAGCAATCGCAGCCGTCGGTAGACTTAAAGAATCCGACGTCTCAAGGTCAATGCGATTGCTTTGTGGTTCATGTTATTCTTTTGTATTTTTAAAAGTATTTCAATAAAAATGCCAAAAACAATTCATTATGAAACCATTTCTCTCTTAATTTTAAGTATAAATTTTTTTATTTTATAATAACATATCCCAAAGAAAAAAATTAAAAAATGTGAATTAAATGTAAAAACAATTCCTTAACTTATTAAATACTGTGAGTGCTTTGGAATATGGAAAGGGAATACAGAAAATGTGCACATTAATTAACCTAAAAACCCTAGCTTATATATAGGAGCAAATGGTCCAGATTAAAACTAATCCGACGACTATCAAAAGCCCACTATACTAATATTAATATACGGCATTGTAACTGTATACTTAACCTTCACATCATTCCGTCCTCTCGAAATAATAAAAGACCATTAAGGTTTTTTTGTAGATGGGCCAAGATCTAGAGGAACATCAAAAGGAGGTATTGGCGGATTTGTAGGTGGTATTAATTGCTCTTGATCCCTTTGTATGAAATGTTTTAACTGTTGCACATACACAATTTCTAGAGGATTTGTTTGCTACACGTCATGCCGAACCTCATAAACTTGTGGTCCCACTTGCTGCAATACTTGATACAGTCGTTTCCACTGAGCAAGGAGCCCCTTAGATAAACCACGTACCGTAAGATGGGGAAAATGGACTAACACCAAGTCATTCACTTTGTACTTTGCAAGTGGACGATGATGGGAGTTGTAGTGTTGTTGTTGTCCCACTTGTACACGGCTTAAGTGTTCGGTAGACTCTGCTCAGACAAGTGGAAGAGTGCTCATCAAATACTAATCCCACGACTTAGTATTAGCAGCTCGTGGCAATTGCAAAGGTAAACCCAGCTCCATTGGTAATATTGGATCATGACCATATAGGAGTTTATATGGTGAAATACTAATAGAACTCTGCACCCTTATGACATATGCATACTGAAGAGATGGCAAATAACCATCCCAATCCGAATGCTGAAAGTTCACATACTTCGCGATCATCTTTTTCAACATCTGAACGAGTCGTTCCACTAGACCGTCTGATTGTGGATAATAAGCACTCATAAAAGTGTGGCATATCCCTAATTGAGATGTCAAAACATGAAATGTCTCAACCATAAACGCGGGACTATTATCCGAAAGAATCCGCTCTTGACAAGAATGCTAGAACACCACTCGATTAAGGAGGAAGTATCCAACAGCAGTTGCAAAGGTGCTAGCAAGAGCACCAACTTCCACCCAATGAGTCAAGTAGTCATAAACAATAATAACATACTCATTGCTAGCAGTCGACTATGGAAAAGGTCTTATAAGATTAAATGCCACCAACTCAAACGGATGGGAAATTACAATTGACTCCAACAGTCCTTCCGCGGCATGAAGGGTAGTATTACGAGCTTGGCACCAAACACAGCTACGCACATACTGAATAATATCACGTCGCATCTCCGGCCAATAGAAAAACTTGCTCAACTTCTCCGTCATATGACGATGTCCCATATGCCCATATAGAATAAGAGAATCATAGTAGGCATGGAAAAACCGCAGAATAAAAATAGATAGCACCACCATCCATAAATGATTATCAGGATCCATCCCCACAAAATAAAGAAGGCCGTTTTTAAGGCAATATTGAGAATGTAAATGCCGGAAAAACAAGTCATTAGCAAGTGATGTAGGATTCTCAAACCTATCTTGAAGTTTTCGAATCCAAGGCTCAATCTTTTGAGCCTCGCAAACCTCATCAAGAGAAGGTAGACTTTGCTCTGTGCCTTGTGGACACTAAACATCAAGTACAGCAACCGCCAACAACATCATTTAGAAAATCCACAGATGTTGGAACAATAGGCTCGTTAGAAATATGAGAAGAGAGTGGAGAAGAAAGAGGAGCTCGAGAAAGGGCATCAACATTAGCCAAAGAACTCCTTGGGCGATGAACAACATCAAAATCATATATTTGAAACTTTAAAGCCCACTGAGCAGTATGACCAACAAGGTTCTTTCGTTTCAATAGTGAAGTAACAGCAGCATAGTCACCTTCAAGTAACATCTGAGAACCATGTAAATATGCATGAAGTTTCTTGAAACCCCAAACTGCTGCTAAACACTCCTTCTTTGTTGTGGAGTAGTTCACCTCTGCTGGTTGCCATATACGGCTTATATACACAATAGAATAGCGCTGATTAGGCACACTCAGACTCTCTTGCATCAACACACCTCCAATATCAATATTTGAAGCATCCACGTGCAAAATAAAAGGTCGAGTGTAGTTAGGATATGCCAAAATTAGAGGAGTCGTCAATAGCTCTTTGAGATTCACGAATGCTTGCTCACAATCCAGAGACCAGATGAAAGATGATGTTGATGACTTCAGCAACGCTCGTAACGGTGCAATGCAATCAAAAAGATGATCCACAAAATGACCAAGATACTGCACCAAACTCTAAAGTTGTAGACCAAGAGCATATGCGCCAAATACCAAGAGTCATGCTTGGCTCACAGGTTCATCTTTGAGATCTTCACTTGCTAGAATATCTAGGTGCTGCCAGGATGATCTTTTCAGAACAGTTACATTGGACGCACAACTCATCGCCCTCGGAAGTTAGGCCTCGAGAGTTGGAGGGGAAGACCCAAGGTTTTTGGAGAGGAAGATCCTTTCGTCGAACTCAAAGCTTTCAGTGTCTTCTCTTCCAAGGGAGAAGATGATCAGGCAAGTTTCTCGGCTGACACCACGACCAAGTGGCCTGATTTTAGATTCTTTCCAAAGCGGAAGGTGTTTTCGAGAGCATTTTCCGCAGAGGCTTGTGACGTAGAAGTGGAGATGCGAGCGCTCTTGCCGGGAGGCCCAAGCAACTACGATGGTTGAGAGTTCGCCAAGGATATGCTCAAGGGTTTGACAGCGAGGCAATTCGCACAGCTTAGCAAAAGTTTGCGACGACGACATCTATCACTTCCTCAGCTAACTAAGAGTTTTGGTGATGGCGGCGGTATGGCGAGCTGAAGGAAGGGCCGGTAAGTCTGGGCGAGCAGCGGTGAGCAGCGCTATCCCAGCACAGCATGGAGTCCCGTGATCAAGAACAGGAGGGAACTATACTGGCGGAGCTAGACCGAGCATGGGAAGAAGAAAATTTAAGAAGTGGAAGACTGAAAACTTCCCATTCTTCGTCGAGATCCTGGCTGAGAAGCAGCAGCTCAAGCCACTGATTGGCAGAAGACATAGCATAGACAAGAAGAGCTTGACAAAAGAGCTGAGACGATGAACGCTGGTCCTCTCATTCCTCTTTATTGTCTAACGTCTTTCATTTAAACAAGACTCTGGAGAACAAAAACCAAACTTTTCTACCAACAGAATCTTATTGATTTGCCCGGGCTTGCAAAGGACAGCAATCTATAGTTGCATGAACGTTCAAACTTTCAGATTCAATGATTATTGGAAACGACTAATAAGGTTTATTTTCCTGCCTGCAAAATCTATGAGGAGAAGAAAACAAGGAAAAAAAAAATCCAGGGGAAAGCTCTTTGCCACTGCAGGCTGCGGAAAGAAACACTTAAAGACGAGCTTTTGCGATTACCACATGAGCAGCAGCCACTGCATCATCGCTTCCACTGATTGACAGACTGCCTGCAATCTCTGACAACTAAGAAGAGTGACACCTCTCTCCAAAGTTTTCTCATGCGAGGCAGATCCAATGCGTGATCGGATGATATTTCCCATCAGCTGGCTGTACAAATTCCGCACAAACAGAATCAAGCACGCTGCAAGCAAAGTCCCTTGCAAAAGTAGAGTACACATTATCGTCAAGAACTCGACCATCACCTGGATCGCCACACAGTAGCTAACAATCGCTCGAAAGCTTTGACAGACCATTTTGAGTTTGGAAGCACCTCCACCATCGTCAGTGTCAGCTTCCTGAATCATCGATGTTCGTGCCCTCCCTCATTTCAGACCCTGGAACCTTCTATCAACTTCATCTAGATCGTGATCTAAAGGAAGAAGGAAATCCATCAAAACTTTTGCTTGGCCACACAAACCATCGACCACTATAGAATATTCTCTATATTATGGTACAACATGGATCTTTTAGGGTTGGTCAATCTGGAATGGAGGAGCACGCGAATGTGGATAGCCTCTTCAAGGGTGTGAAAGTGCCGCCGCGCTTGAGAGAAGCCGTGGATGCCACGCTCGAGTTGCGGAGGGTCATCTCCGCCTTCAGGCACAGTTGCTTCTTCTCTGTGGAGGGTGGAGCTCTGTTCGAGACAATTCAAGCGTGGCACGTGAAGAAATACGTGCCCAGTTCCAACCTGAAGGAGTACCCCAAGGTACACACTGTTTTTATCGCTGTAGAGTTTAATTTGCTGCTTTAGGACCTGGAGGAAAGGAACCCATATGCACGGTATAAGACTCAATTCCCAAAGGCTGCAAGGGCGTGGTCCTCAAAGCTGGATTTCTTGCTTGATGAAATCCCGCTCTGCGACTCATCGCTGCAGTCGCTTGAGCGATGTAAGTTTCCCTCGCAGCCAGATGAAAACACTGACAAAAAGAACAACAGGGACTGTAAGTGCAGCGGAGCTGGAGCAGCTCCTGCTAGACCTGAATGACGGCGGAAGGCTTGCTCCTCTTATTACTGTGTGCCCTTACCTTACACACTTGGAGAACGTCTACATGGCCGTGTTAGACGCGCGGCTGTGGCTCAGCTATTCAGAGCTTCCTGTCGAACCTCTTCGGAATAGCGGATCATGTGAGTGAGCCTTCAGCATTCTTGACTTTTTAGTTGCTCATGCATGGTTTATAGACAAGGCAATTCGTATGGGGTCCGCTCGACCTGTGCGGCAGCTGCAGGGCAAGCCTCCCTCCCCCTTCTACGCCCTCGTGATGCGGCGTGAAGCGAACAACTACTTGGGCATGCTCGGCGACCCGGGTTCGACGGTGTACTACGTGACGCCAATGGATTTTGAGCCAGGGAGACGAGGCTGTTACATGGCGAGGATGTCGAGATTGGGGCGGGGCTTCATGCGCAAGCGCGGGATGTCACCAAAAAAGCTTGCTGCAAGCCTGGCTGCAACGCCCATTGATGATAAGGAGTTCAAGGACCGCTTCCTCAAGCACAATAAGATGACAGAAACATCTTCCATGGCCAAGCTCCTGGCTCACCGCATATACGACATTGGTGTCTAGCGGCCTGTTTTGTTTCTGCTTGTGTGGTCTTTCTTTCAGTTGCTGCCCCTTGTCAGCTTTTATCCAGATCTTTTTTAAGATTGAATAGCCACTGGACCTTGATGCACCGGTTGTGATCGTTATTTATGATAAAAAGAAGTATCATGTCTATAGCTTGAGTAGCATTATGGTAATAACTGAACTCTAGATATTCCATCTTATGAATTTGATAATTGATATTATTTAATAGTATTTTGAGGTTCAAGTGTTGTCCAAACTCATAGAATTTTTTGGGCTTTTTTATCCTAAATAAAAATGGGAATATTGAAGTTCTCACAAACTTGAAATTTCTATATATTTCAACAATTGATTAAAAATATAGAAATAATTTGAACACTAATTCACTAATTCATTCTTTAGGGTTTTACAAATATAGGAAGTAAGGAGGATAAAAAATCTAGGAGTAGTTCTAGCATATATAAATATGAGAATGTTAATGTTGTTTCACCACCACAATCTTTATATTACACTTCTGGTCCTTATTACTCATTTTAGAATGTAGAAACCACTGTCACTATTGATAAAAATGCTTTTGTTACTTTCAAAACAATAATCTCAAGTAAGAGAAAAAAAGAAATGGACAACATAGTAGAAAGCATTAATAAATCCACTTCATAAAGCTTTCTATAGCTTTTGTAATCCACTAAAATATTATATAGAAAAATAATATATATATATATATATATATATATATATATATATATATATATCTCCTTTTCCTCTTGATATATTATATAAGTGTGTATTATATATGATTTGGATAAATCAAAGAGTTAAATCTATATATATTTTTGAGATTGAAAGGTAATCTTGCAAAAAGGCATGTTTGTGTGTTTATGTGCATTTGCCATTATTATATATGGCAGACCAGCTATATAAAATAAGATTACATATTAATTATGTGTTAGTTTTTAACTTCTAGAAACCTATAGCCATTTGTCTCTAATAGTAAGTTGTAATTATTGAGACTAACAATTATGATTCAATATATTGCCATGTCATAATAAAATGTCATGAAATGTAGTATATTAATCAAAGAATTCTTATTGTTGGAAAGTTTAATTCTTCTTGTGCATTGCAATAATCTGGAAGAAGTTTACTTTTGGTCTTGGAGACCTCTCATATAAGTCTCCACCTTCATCTCTAAGCTCAACCAATAATCCACCTAAACCTTTACATAATAATCCTCCTCTTCATTTTGAGGGGTGTTCTGAAGCTCTTTCATTTGTGATCTCGAGTGTAATTGAATAAGAGTTCCCTTTTTATGATGTTGTTAAAAGAGTTGGACTGCCTCCAATACTCCAAGAGTGATGTTAATATTTTCTTCAAGATCTTGCTTTAAATATGGCAGGAAATCTTGATGTAGATACATATTATCTTTTGTATCTTATATACTATTTTTCTTTGAACAAGATACATAGTTGCATGGGTTTGGTAAATTTTCTTGAACACTACCGCAAATGCCCAAGAGCGGGTTTAGAAGGTGTGCATGCATAGAATTAAAGACACACAACTATTATGTTTCAATAATATTCCATTGGTGAATATTGCATTAGTAAGTGTTGAATATGGGATATTTAGGCCACTCTTTAATGTAATGTGAAAGTCATAAAGAATTTCTTCAAAAGTTTAGTTTATTATAAATAAAGTGGAGAATCCTATATTTTCAAGAATGATAGTATTTTAGCAATGTATAAAGATATTATTATATATACAAGTGGTTCTAACACTATTATAATTCTGAAGTCTCATTTTTTAGACTGACAATCTAAACTTTCAAGAACCCCTAAATATTTTTTTAATATAAATACTGATAAAGGATTCTTTCAACATTGAAAATTCAATTTGTTTAGAGTGTAGGAATGGCTAAAGAGAATTTTATTGCTTCTCGCACTTGGCCCCTATACATTTTATATGAGTCTTCACCTCCATTTCCAACTTCTACCAATATTCCACCCTTCATATAATAATTGTTGTGAGGCTCTTCCTTTTATAGCCTCAAGTGTGACTAAACAAGAGATTCTTCTTCCAAATAATTGTCGCGAATGTGACTTCAGGTATCGAAAGTTACCTGTCGGCTAGTCCTTACAGACACTCTTACCTTACTACCATGATGGCAGGAGGTCAGTATTGCTGGACCCGTTATTAGTCTCCGCCTAAGCTAGTTGAGAAACTGGTCATCACATGTGCACTTAGACCGGAAGGGCACTAAGGAAGGAAATCCTAAATTGTCATTTAGTCAAACAGACTTGACACGATGATGAGAAACTCATGATGTTAACTTGCACTTGCTAGTGTTAGGAACCCCCGCGATATTGAGCTTGGTCCCTCAATATCGCTAGATGATAGCTTACCGTGTCTACTAAACACTCTCGCTATCATGCCCTTTGTGTTAGTCTCATTTCGGTCCTAAATGCTATTTATGGAAAGTGTCCAGATTTGCTCATTTGGCATATCTACGGAATGTAGAGATCGTCTTGAACACAATGGTGTTCGTCCCATGTCCAAATTCGCAATCTAGGGACATTCCATATTTAGTAAGTTTCGAGCTTGTCCCAGAGACTAACTCCTGATACTAAGGGAGGCTTGGGGAAGTGTGTGTTCCTCAAGGGGGGGGGCTATGGGGGGTTCTAAATGTATAGTAGGGATAGTGGGTAGGTCGGGCATGGCCGACCAACTTGAAGTATAGTCTAGCTCCCGCTTGCGTGTTTGTCCTTGTTCTGCGTCCAGTTTGGGTCTAAGCCCAAGTTCCATTCCATGCTAGCTGGTGGAGTACCCATATCCTCACGTTAGGCCACTGGTATGCCGAAATAGTGCCAGACTCCGTTTGGCTCCGTTTTGCGTGCTGGTTCTGGCATTGGGATGTTGGTTGCTCCAGGACTGTTCCAAGTCACTCCGGGCTCTTGTCCCTTCGCTCCTTGGGCTTTATGCTCGAGAGTTGTTTCGTGGTTCGGTTCCATCACTCCTTGGCTTCGTGCTTGGGAGTTTGGCACTGTTCCTTTGTTTAGTGGCCCAAGGCCCTGAACCTCGGGTTCCTATTGACACGTGGCATGTGACACGTGGCATCTGTCACGGGCTCTTCCCTAATTAATGATAATTATTCCTAGTAATTTTTCTTTACATTTCTATAAGTCTGGGTAGTAATATATTAGTTTTTTTTAATATTTTAGGATTCTAAATTTGTGCATATTTCAAGTAAAAATATACTTTACATGTAACATCTAATTAATAAAATTTATTTTTAGTAATTCTTCTTTTATTGTTTTTTGTATGGAAGTGTACTAAATATATTTATTCTTAAATTTATAAGATATTATTTTTAGCAATTTTTGTTTTAATTTTTTCTGGGTTAAGTATTAAGTTTTTTATAATCTTAATACTCTAAATATAATCATATTCCCAAGTAATACTGCATATAATATCTTTATCAATAATATTTACTTAGTAATTCTTCTTTTCACTTTGGGAATATAATAGTGTTTTAAATATATAGTCTATGTTGTATAGTATTGTGTGTGTGTGTGTGTATATATATATATAAATCAGAAGAAAAAAGTTGTATAAAATTATTGATTTTGGTGCTCATCCAGCATTTGCTGGGCAATATTAGTGTTTCTATATTTTGTGTTGTTATGTGTATTATACATTTATAGTTTTTTATGTTTAAATTTTTTTTATTATATTTTGATTGTGTTCTATATCTCTCATATGTAATATTGCTGAGGTTTTTCATAATGTTTGTATCACAGTTGAAGCTGTATATGCACAATAATGAATTTTAGTTCCTAGTTGGATAAATCTATCATAGTACTAATATTGCAGATTAAAGCATTTTATTTTATGTATTGTTCTTGCTGCTGCTGGTTGTATAGAAATTGTGTTCTTGATAATATAATTATTTAATTTTTTATTTGTATTCATTTAAACATGATTTGAATTATATTATTTGGAATTTTTTGAACATAATTGTTTTCCTTCTATATCATTTTCAAATTTTATCCATAATATTTCTTTATTTTGAGATATATTTATATTTCATACTAAGCCATCTTGTGTTTTTATATTTGGAGTATCTCAATCTTTATTTATTTTTGTTATTATTAAGGTTCCTGGAACATTTTGTTTTACTTTATCATTATGTTGCTTTACTTGATAAAGTACAATTTGTTGTTATTTTTTTATTAATTATCTCTATATTTTCTTCATTTTGTTCAGATGTTCTTATTCTATTTAGTATTTTATGAATTTCTTATCATCCGTTTGTCTCATTATTTCTGTAAGTTCATAACATGTTCTTCCATGGATATATAATTAGTAAATGAGTAATAATAACTCATATTGTTTATTAGGAGAAAACTTCACTGTCCATAATAGAAAAAGTGTTATAGCTCTCTTCAGAAATAAAGATTGAATATATAATCCAACAATCATATAATTCTTGAGGATGTTTTCTATCATATTAGTCTTGTTTGTAATTGCTATTGATATTTTTGGTATGGATGAAGAAAATAAAAAAGCATAAAATTGGCATTAACTATCATAAAAGCATCATGAATGACATTTTTATTGATTTTTATAGGTATAAGTAGGCACCATCTTTTTCACTTTATTATTTTCTTGTAAGTCAATCAGGCTACATTTTGCCTTTGTGATAACGAAAGTTCCGTGGACAAGCACCTTAGCTTTGATCAACAGTTTACCTTGATAATCTAGAACATATTCCCGAATGGAGCAAACTCCCGGACCTCTCACTACCACCCATTAGCTGGAGCTTGGTCTCCATCCCGAGAAGGCATGGAGGATCTGGCCTTTCCATCCCAGTAGCAGCCACCCCTGGTCCCTGTGAAGCTCAAAGCTTTGGTGATACATACCCATGAGCGATTCCGTGTCATGGAACACCTGGTCGCTTATGTCGAGCAGCTCAAACTTGGCTCGCTGCGTCCTCGAGTGCCACTGCTTGTAAGTCTCTGCTCGCTCCACTCGCTCTAATCCCTCGCATGCCACGATGTTGACGATCTCCCGCCCGTACTTCTCCTGCTCCAGCAAGTGCCGCTCCTTGCTCTCCGGCTGCGAGCAGCAATCGATGGCGTCGAAGAGCAGCGCAAAATGTGTCAGCGCCTCGAGGAACCGCGTCATGAAGAAGGGGACGTTGTAGCTCGCGTTGTTCATCCCCTGGACGAACACTCTGGGATTCAAGCTCCGCACCCGGTTGAGCCACACTTTCCTCGGGCTCTCGGCGAGAACGGATTCGTCAAGCAAGTTGGTCTGCCGGAACATACAGTTGACGGCTAGAACTTCATCGTCACTCAGGAGCAGCGTCGCAGCGTCGATGTTCTCCCACTTCTTCGACACGGCCCGGAACTTGAAAGGCAGCCCGATCGACTGCGCATACTCCCGGAGCATGCACCCCACGTCGCTGGCGCTGCCACCCCCTGGTAATGGAGAATCGATGCCGGTGATGCGCAGATACGGAGGACCACCCGGAGTATTCGCCAGTTCTTGCATCAGAGCCGGCCACTGGAACCCGAAACAGGCACCATAGTCGACAATGTGAATCCGCTGGTGACCTCTACACGCGTTGAGGATGACTTGATTCGGGAAGAAGTATCTCACGGACAAGAACGGGCTTCGTTCCATGATGTACTCGACCGACTTGAGCATCGCTCCCGCGGTTGGCCTCGCGTGACACATTGCCGTGAAGAGGCCATTCCCTGTGGCGGACACCCTCGCCACCAAAGCCTCGACGAAGTAGTAGACGATCCGCTGCGTGGAGGTTCCAAGTGGCGACACTTTGCTCCGGATCTCCTCCACCAAGAGGTTGGCTCGCATCACGTCATGGGAAGAGACCGCTCGAGCACACTCGACGAGCTGCTCGACAAGATCCAAGCTTGGCAGTCCCACACTCTCCAAGACTTGGTAGTAAGTTCCTTTGCCAGTGGCGAGTAGAGATGGTGGCTGCTGCTGGAGGTCTTCTTCGTGCTGGTATTTTGGCGATGGCTTTGGCCACTGGAGTCCCACCGGGCTGTCGATCATCCATGCGACCTCTGGCTGGATCACCATGCTTGAGTCTTCGTCCTCACTAGCGTCGAAAGTTACATCGCACTCTGGATTGTCGAGGACGTTCGTGGAGAGCGAGCATCTCATCGTTGCGAAACCACCAAAGTCACTGCTGGAGAGATCTGGTTCTTCCTCTGGAAGCAGCTGCGAAGAATCCTGCTCGCCAGGATCCGGCTCCTCCAAGCCGATCAACTCCATGAGCTCGTGCTCCAGTACCTCCAAATCGCTGCTTTTGTCAACGCCATGACCTTGCTCTGGAGTAATGCTTCGATCTTCGCGCTGATCACTGTCGTCCATGAGAAGATTGAGAATGCTGCATAGATCCTCGTCGATCTCGCCCCCATTTGGAGTGCCGGCGTCGAATCCCTGCGATTCCGGTGGATTCTCCGACGAACCGCTGCTCGACGCTGAAGAATCCAAGCTAGGTTTCTTGCGGAGCTGAGATTGGAGCCATACCTGCTGGAGCTTGAGTGCCAGTGGCGACGCGAAATCGCTGCTGTCGCTTCTCTCTCGATCGAGTAAAGACGCCGCCGCCATCGCTCCTCGTGGGCAAAATATTTTTCCAGTCAAAGAAAGTAACCTACGCGAGGCAGTGCTAGGGTTTATGCGGCGAGCGGCAGGCTATGGCTTGCGCGCGCCAGTGATCCACGCTAGCAGGACTGTAATCCTCTCAAGATGCTGCTCCGGATCGAGCGAGGGGGATTTGGCTTGCTTGTTCGACGCTCTGGATGCCAGACGCGGGCAATGCGAGGAAGCTGTGGCCGATTGGATGTCTCGTGGGAATGCTCTCACGCCAGATTCCGTGGGGAGCATCTTCGATCATCTCACTGGGCGCAATCGCTACAAGGAAGCTCTCAAGGTGAGAAAGAAAGAAATTTCCCAGTTTCATTGCTTGAATGAGAAGATTTTTTCTAGCTAGGTGCTCAAACTCGTTCGAGAGAACAACGTTGTGGAGCTGAGCGTGAAGAATTGCATCAAAGAGCTTACGCTACTCTGTCGGCAGCACGCTCCTATTCCAGCTGAAGTGATCTTCTTGAGCCTCCCGGAGTCCATGAAAACCGAGGAGCTCATCGCCGCCTTTGTCATCAGCTTGGCCAAGCAAAAGTCCTGGAGCCGAGCGGAAGTTTACAAGCAGCAACTCACCACAATCTCTCCCGAGGTGGAGGACGCGATGATCTCTCTCTACTTCTCCAAGGATTTCCACGACCGAGCTCTTGCGTCCTACCAGAGATTGAGGTACTCGGGCATCAAGCCAATGCTTCACACTTACTTGACGCTTCTCAAGTGCAAGGAGAGAATTGGAGGTCTCGGAGGACTCGAAAGAGAAGCACTGGCAGCTGCGAAGAGTGTGGACCTCAGCACTGCGAATGAAAGGGTACGTTGGTCATCAGCTTGGAACTTACGTGATCACAACTCTTGCTCGCTCTTGCAGGATTTGGCAAACTTGATGGAGATCCATGGCTACTTGCATGATCCGGACAGTGTGGGAGCAATCTGGAGCATCGTAAAGCAAAGATCACCGCGTCTCCTCCACGATAGCTACGCTGCCGCGATCAAAGCTTTCGGACTGGTTGGAGAAGTCGAGAAGGCGGAGGTGGTGCTGGAAGAAACGATCGCGAGCAAGAGTGTGAGGTATGGGATCAATCCATATCACGGGATCATCGAAGTCTACGCGAGGGTGGGATTGCTCGACAGGGCCGAGGAGACGCTGCGAAGAAAGACGGACAACTCGGTGTTCCAGCCATTCAACTCCTTGATCCTGGGATATCTCGCGCGGAACGACATCGCCAGAGCTTTGCAGCTGCTGGAAGAGGGATGGGAGAAGCGGCAGATCGATTCGAGCTTGGGTTACCTGACGACGATCAAGCTCTTGCGCGTCTTCGCGGCGAGAAGAGACGTGGGAAGCGCCGAGAAGCTCATTGCCATGTATCGCAACCGCGGCGATTCCACTCTTTGCAACGCGATCGTCAATGTCTATGCCGCAGCGCAGCAGCCACCGAATTTCCAGCTCCTGCGAACGCTCAAGATCAATCCTCCGTGATCGATGGAATGGAATTACACGTGTCGACACGTGTCATACTTTTATGACGTGGCGAGAATGCAGGCCTATGACATGAGCGACGTGGACAAAAACCTTCGCAAAGCTAGCTAGTTTTTAGGTCGGGCATAGGGTTTCGCTGTCATGGCTCCGTCGCGGGGAGAGCGCGCCTCCGCCGCGCCGACGTCGCCGTGGATCGCATTACTGATGCTTTGGCTGGCGGGATTCAGGGACGCTTGCCGATTCGACCGCGCATTTCTCATCTGCCGGAGGTAGCGCGATTTCTCGCGAATCGAGCTGAAATTTCCTCTCCGCTTTGCAGGTCTGGCGTAGTTCGGAAGAAAACGGGGCAGTGCTTCCTCAATGGCCTGCTCGTTCTTGGAAGGTTTTCGCTTTGTCGAAATATTTTGTCGTGAAATCTTTTCTGACGAGTTTCCGCAGTGTCTTGGTTCTCCAGAAAGCGATTATTCCGGCTTTGAGCTGGCTGCTCGATTTTGAGGCGCATGTCGACGATGGATCGGCCAGGCCAGTGCCGAAGCTCCAGTCTTTCCTGATCGCGCTGTACTATGTAAGCTTGATTTCATTCTCGGCGAGCTCTAGCGCTAGTTTTCTTTTCATTGTGTCTTCCAGGTACTCTGGCTCTATCCGATCTACGTGATAAGCTTTGTGATCAACTGTATTCACTCCAACGAAATCGCTCAACACGTCTTTCACGAAGTAAAGAAGACTATGAATGAGCCGACGTCGAGGCCATCAACAGGTACTTCTTCTACCGCCGCAGCCTTTGACAGGTGAGTGAAGAAATCCATTCACTCAATCAAGGATGGTTTAGTTTTCATGCTCTAGGTCCAGTTTCACTCGTGGAATCGGTGAGAACTTGTACTCGGTCATCGTCATCGGTGCCTTTTTTGCCGAAGTAAGTCTTGTTTGTGCTGGGAATCTAGTTCTTTAACAAGATTGAAACTTTCAAACAGGCATTCGTTGCAAGTTTCATTCCGTATGTCGGGCAACTCTTGTACTTCGTTCTCCTGTCCTGGCTTTATGCTTACTATTGCTTTGAGTAAGATGCCAAAGTTCTTTCCGACCAGTTTCTTAGTAATCTTTTCCAGGTACAAATGGGGCCTAGCTCAGTGGAGTCTCGAGAGGCGGCTGGTCTTCTTTGAGACAAACTGGGCCTTCTTCTCTGGATTTGGTAAGGACCTTTGCTTGTGTTGTCGATGCTACTTCTTAACCAGAGCTTGATTTTTCCGTCATCCAGGTAGTCCTTGCGTATTAGCGACGTTTTTCTTTTCACCTCTGGTGAGCACCGGCGTCACCGCCATCCTCTATCCATTGGTAAGCAACCGAGAATCTTCTCCAGACAAAACTCTGATCGAGCTTCTGGTTTTTGCGTGATCCAGTTTGTACTCATTGCAACTGCGTCAGATCCCGAAAAATCGATAGCCCGTGTAAAACGCGATTCTTCTCTCTTCCCTCGTCTTCCCATTTTCTACCTGGCCAACAGCTGCTCGTAAGTTGATATGCTCTTTGTCTCTACATCTCTCTTTCTCATCGTCAATTCCTTGGCAGGCTTCCAATTGTTCGCTTCTTCGTCAGTAGGTTTCCCGCAACTAGGTGAACTTCGTGGCAAACGTTGTGCTTCTTTGTACATTGCTGTGAATATACGATATCTTTTCTTGTGTGAAGAAATTTAGGGTTCTTTATTGGATGGATTGCTCCAGGGCGCCATTCGTACCGGGCGTGCGAATTCTCTCCTCGAGGAGGAGCAGCGGTATCTCTTCCTCAAATGCGATTGCGATTAGATTTTTCACTCTGTTTTCGCCGTCGCCAGCGGCATTGGGCTGTTCTTCTCAAGCGAGAGTCTTGGCATTGCGAGCAAGAATTTCCAATCCTTCGTGGAGAGGAGTGTGCGCTTCAGCCGAGCCGGGCATCAGGCATGGAGGGATTTCTCCTGGATTGATTCCTTCGCAGATTGATATTTCTCCGGATGAAGTATCTTCCAAAAATCTGGGAGGAGGAGGAGGAGAGAGCTTATTATCAGGGGAGTCCATCAAGCACGTACCGCGGAGCTATAGCAACAAGTTTATTCGATGGGTGAAGCTGGGCTCGGTGATCAATGACGCGGCCATGGCTTTTTTCAAGAGTGAAGTACGTCGTCGCACTTTCATCACCATAATCCTCCTTATGGTCTGCAGAGCTGGTCAATTTGTTCCTCTTCCCGGTTTTAATCACAGGACAATGCCATCGAATTTTCTCGGCTCCACCGCTCTTACAGGTAAGGCCATAGAACCTTTTTTTTTTTTTTTTGATCCTCTTAACACCAAGTGCCCTTCTTTCTTCCAGCAAGTGAAGGGGCTTTTCTCAAAGAGCCGAAGATATCGTTCTTCCACCTCGGGCTGAGTCCTTATATTTGCGCAAGCACTGTTATACATGTACGTTACACTTTCAGCTGCTGGCTTGGGTGTTACCAACGTTTGTGCGCAGCTAGTCTGTTCTTGGTACCCTCCATTCCAAAAGATGCGAAAGGAAGGAGAAATCGACAAGATAAAGTCATATACGTGAGTGATCGTATTGCATTAACAGTTCTCTTGCTCACTTGTTTTCTACACAGCTGGTGGCTTACTCTGTCATGCTCGGTGATTCAAGCACTCCTACTGTCGTATGCAACGCTCCAGTATGCTACTGCGTCTGATCTGTACGTTTTCAATGCATTGTGTCTCGGAAAACAGCTGAAGTTTCTTCTTTTCTTCCAGGTTTAAGCATTTCCTGTTTACCGCGTCTTTACTGACCTCTGGATCAATGTTACTGGAATGGATATCTCGTAGGATTACCGAATCTGGATTTGGTACGTCTGTAGTCTAAGCTCGCCTCGGTTATCCTTTTTCTTCTTTTCCAGGTCAAGGATCAACGTTGATTATTTGCATGGGGATTCTTGTCAGTTCCTCCCAGTCCCTCTGTAATATGGTCATAAGCTTCTCCAGTAAGTCGAATCTGTTTCAAGCTCGGGTATAAATTCACTTGGTAACAGGATTGGACTTCTCCAAGTGGGGACCCGCTTTGCTCCTTTATGTGGGAGTGTTCTTGACTATGACAGCATGCGCTGTGCTCGTTACGGAAGGACGTCGGATCATCAAGCTTCAGTTTTATGGCTTTGATCGCTTTCCAAGCTCCGGGTACATAACAATTCTTCAGCTTTTTTTTATGTTCTCATAACATGCCTCCAGAGGAGATGGGATTCCGGAAGTGGAGCCTTATATTCCGTTTGACATCAACCCGAATGGGATGCTACCGGTGTATATGTCATCGTATCTTATGGCAGTCCCCAGCTTCCTTGCGAAGTACATTGTCTTAAGAGTGTATTTGATTGTTTTGACGATATCGTCTTGCTGTGCAGCATATTAAAAACCCCGTTCTTACGGCAGTTACAAGTCCTTTTGAATCCAACATTACCCCCTGCACCTGGCGCAAGACCATGGTTGTACCACACACTGACTGCGTTGCTCATTCTCACTTTCAGCGTCCTCGACGTTGTAAGTTTCTGCTGCTAAGTTTCTTGGGGGAACTATGATCATGTTTAACTTTGCAGAGTGACGGAGCAAAAGACATATCAGAGTACATAAACAGGATAGGGGCAAAGATTGCGGATGTTAAGCCTGGTCGTTCGACCGTGGAATTTCTACGGAAAGTGCAAACCTCGGCTCGCACTTGGGGTGAGCTTTGCGACGCTTGTATATTATCTATAGTTTGCCTACCTTCGTGCAGGTGGATTTTTGCTGGCACTGCTAGTGACTGTGTCAACTATAATCGACTATAAGTTGCGGTCCTTGCATCAAACTGGCGGCATCAGCTTTACCTCCATGCTGTTTATTGTAAGCGCCACGTTTTCACGTCTCTCGATTAACTAGTGCGTTTTTTGCCAGGTGGGGACGATCATCGAAGTAAGGCGGTCATTCATGGCTTATCACGCAATGCACACGCTAAGCAATGTACTAAGGCGATATGGCGTATAAAGAGAACGACGTGCTGTCGCGAACATTTTCATTCAAAACATGGATTAAAATCGACAAGGTACGTCTTCTTCTTCTTTTTTAGAAAAACTCAGATCTTGGTTACATTTAAGAAGTCCTCATTTTTGTCCATAATGGTTTCTGTATAACATTTTATAAGCTCATAAAGTAAAAGTAACTTTTAAATAAAGAATCATCAATAAAAAGAGTTGGATCTAAGCACTAATGTTTAACCTAATTACCTTATGATTAATGTACTATTTAATTTGATAAAAAGAGTGTGCAGCCCTAATCATCCTTTTTCATCAAAGCATCACTTTTTGGAAAATGTTAAAGTGTGGTAACAGGGAAGAGTGATGCTTAAATGCAACAATGAAAGCCATAATAAAGTTGCAATTAAATATTTAAGACAAGAACATTCTAGTTTGAATGTTATGCTGAATGAGGTAGAAATTTTGGAAGAGTGTGATAGGCATGTGAATATCATCAACCTTCTTGATGGTATAATAAACAAAGATGACAACTTCACAGTCTTTAAGTTGATAGAAACAGACTTAATACATTATAGGAAGCTTGAAAAACACAAGATCAAATTATTCATGATGCATATTCTTTCAAGGCTTGCATGAATTTACTCCAACAAGATCATCCACCGGGATATAAAGCCTGAAAATTTATTAATGAAATGTAACATGGTGAAGCTCACATACTTTAGCCAAACATATGGGTTATGGAACAATTTAGCAAATATTTTGGAACATTTTCATATCATTTTCCGAAGTAGCTTAAAGTTGAGAGGGGCTTTTACTCTACAACAATAGATATATATAGGTAATTAAGTGTGCATCTGCAAAGTTGATTCGTGGATTTCAATTGTTTGATCCCATAGACTATGAATTTATGAATGAAAAAAAATTGAAAATGCCAAATAGTGGGATTGATTGAGGCATAGAATTTATGGCCAAAATTGGATTTTATAATAGGTGATAAGAGTGTTATGGAGCTTATGGCAAGGATGCTAGAGATGGATCCTCGCAAAGAGGATTTTTGCCCAAGAAGCATTGCAATCTAAGTATTTTGGTTCTTTAAAGGTGGGTATACCAAACATAAGAATGGTTAGCATTGGTGTTTGGGAAAATCTCAACTTTGGCATGTATTACTCACTAAAATGAGTATGAAAAGAGGAAAAAAAAATACATTACACTTCAGGTCATATCAAATCCAACATAAACTAAAACCAACCTTATTTGTCTTCATATTCCTGTCTACAGAGAGCCACAGTTTAAGAAAGCATACAAAATCTGTGAAACAATAGTTAGATAAGTTGTGATTAGAATTTATTCAAATACTCTATTTTGGCCAAATGTAAAAAAAAAAAAGGTGCATTACATTTTGAAAAGAAAAGAAAAAAGAAATCAAGACATGAAGTTCTTTAAAGCCTCTCTGTGCCAAAGATGAAGCAAGTGAATGCTGCATGCATCTTCTCCAGGCTCCTCTAGAATGCCCCAGCAGCTGAATCCAGGGGGCTGCCATCCAATCTCTCATCTGGTGCCACAGTGCTGGCCCATCTATTATTTCGTTTTTGTATTGATATGAGATATATCAAAGTGATAAAAATCTTATATTTATATTTTAATATGCAAGTGAAGTGACGCCATCACCACCATAACTTTTTTTTGTGCCACAGCATAAAAATTCCAATATGCATATTGGTCATTTTTTCTTGGATCTACTGTAATCACAAGCAAACAGCCTTGGAACCACAATCCAGGCATGCTTGACCAAAAAGGCAGGGGGTCTTCCTCCATTAGCAGGTACTTTTAGTTTGAAAGCTTGATTGCATTATTTTAAGACAAACAGGTGGTAAGAAAACTGACTTCCTGAGTTAACCTGGCCTCATCATAGAGCAACCAGAGCTGAACCGCTTGGAATAGCTCTCCAGCAATGCTGGGGAACAATCATGGTCAGTCGTTTTGTGATATTTGTCCAGAGGTTTCTTGTCTTTACAGGTGGAGCTGGTCTTCACATTTGATTCGCGTTCTTGAATCCAGAACTCAAGGACCAAGCTCTCGTTTTGCCTGAGAGGAGAGGTAGTTTCTAGAGACAAATTCTTCGTGGCTACGGCCATCTTCCATCCCATTGAGCTGATCCAGGACGTTGCTCAGGCTCAAGAGTGCTTCATCCTGCTTGGCTTGCTCATCCTTCCCAATGATTCTATCTTAAAGCTGTCTAAAGAGCTAGATCATAGTGTGGCTGCTTGACGAGCTCACCATGGACCCACCAGTAATGGAGAGCTTCGCTCCACCAGCCTCGATGTTGTCTGGTACTGAGCTGGGCTTCTCTTGTGGCTCCAGTTACGTGCTTCTGAATTGTCCAGCATCTCGAGCACTGACTTACTGGCCCACGGAGGATCTGGTAGGATAGCTCTAATTACCGACAGGACGCCCTTACCACATAACATAGGGCCTCATGACGCAGAAGAGAATTTCCTCCTCTCAGTGTAAAGTCATAGAAGGGGCAAGTAAAGCCATTACCATGGCAACAACAAGCACTCTTGCTCAATGTAGCCAAGCATAGATCATCATGACTCTGGCATCTTGTGAAAAGATTGACTTTGCAGTATGAGTGAGATCTAAGCAAGAAGTTGATCAAAACACCAACTAGCAATGCACAAAGAAAGAAAATTGCAAAGAAAACCTACTCGTGCTTAATAGATTTATCAATACAGCGAGTGAAGTATGGTTTTAAAAATATTTTGGCACAATAAAGAATATTTTGTTAAGGTTTTAGTGGCAATATTTTTTCTTAAATAGGTATTTTAAATAAATTAATAGTTTAATAATATTTAGATTTGTGTAAACTACATCTTAGTCGCAATAATTACTATTTAATAGAGGTTTTGCTTTATCACCTAATTTACAGAAGAAATTATTATTTTAATATTTAATAATTAGTATTAATACTAATTATTTAAGTGCAATATGAATGCATAGAATATGGAAATAGAATATAAAAATGTACATATTAATTAGCCTAAAAACCTTAGTTTATATACAAAAGCAAGTTGTCCGAATTAAAACCAATCCAACAACTACCAAAATCCCACTACGCTAATATCAATATATGACATTGTAGTTGTACATTTGAACCTCACATAATCCCCTCCTTTCAAAATGATAGACTATCAAGATCCTCTTATGAATGGGTCAAGATTTGGAGGAACATTAGTAAGAGGCATTAGTCGACTGTAGGTGGTGTCAGTTGTTTTAGATCCCTTTGTATGAAGCATTTCAACTGCTACACATGCACAATTTCTGGAGGATTGACTTATTGGATGTCATGTTGAACCTCATAAACTTGCAACCCCACTTGCAGCAAAATTCTATACAATCCTTTCCATTGAACAAATAGCCTCTTAAATAAACAATTTACGGTAAGATTGGGAAAACAAACTAACACTAAATCATCCACTTTGTATTTCACAGGTGGACGATGATAGGAGTTGTAACACTGTTGTTGTCTTAATTGTACTCAGCATAGGTGTTTAATAAACTCTATTTGGACAAGTGGAAAAATGCTCATCAAATATTGATCCCACAACCTAGTATTGGCAACTTATGGTAATCGTGAAGGTAAACCCAACTCCGTTAATAGTATTGGATCATGACCATATAAAAGTTCATATAGTGAAGCACTAACAAAACTCTACACCCCTATAATATATGTATACCAAAGAAACAACAAATAACCATTCTAATTCGACTGCTAAAAGCTTACATACTTCACAATCATCTATTTGAAAGTCCAAATGAGCCATTTTACCAAACCATTTAACTGTGATGATAAACACTCGTGAAAGTGTGACGTATCCCTAATCTAGATGTCAAAACATGAAATGCCTCAACCATAAATGTGGGACCATTATCTAAAAGAATTCGCTCCAGACAAAAATATCGAGTTACTGGGGCGAGTTACTGCTCTGCGGGGTGCGAGTTACTGAGGCGAGTTACTACTCTGCAGGGCACGAGTTACGGGGGCGAGTTACTAGGAAGTATCCAACAATAATTACAAATGCGCTAGCAAGAGCATTGACTTCCACCTAGCGATTCAAGTAGTCAAAAGCAATAATGACATACTCATTACCAACAGTCTAACGTAGAAAAAGCCCCATTATATTAAATGCCACAAACTCAAACAAACGGAAAATTGCAATTGACTCCAATTGTCCTTCTATAGTATAAAAGGGAGTATTATAAGCTTAGCACTAAATACAACTATATACATACCAAATAATATCATGGTGCATCTTCATCTAATAGAAAGACCTACTCAGCTTCTCAGTCATATGATGATGTCCCATATGCCCATCTAGAACAGAAAAATCATGGTAGGCATGGATAAAGCATGGAATAAAGATCAAAGGCACCACTAGCCAGAAATGATCATTAAGATCCATCCTTACAAAATAAAGAAAACTGTTCTCAAGGTGATATTGAGAATGTAAATGTTGAAATGACAAGTTATCAGCAAGTGATGCGAGATTATCAAACCCATCGTGAAGCCTTTGAATCCATAACTCAATCTTTCGAACCTCGTTAAGAAAAGGTAAATCTTGTTCTACACCTTATGAACATTGAATATCAAGTACATCAACCACTAATAGCATAAAATCTTTATCTAAAAAATCCACAAATGCTAAAATAACAAACTTATCAAAAACATGAAAAGAGAGCAAGGAAGGAAGAGGAGCTCAAAAAAGGGCATGAGCTTTAGTTATAAAACTCCCCAGGCAATGAAAAACATTAAAATCAAATATTTAAAACTTCAAAACCCATTGAGTAGTACGACCAATCAAGTTCTTCTATTTCAATAATGAAGTAACTATAGCATGATCACCTTTTAGTAATATTCGAGAACCATATAGATATGCATGAAGTTTCTTGAAACCCCAAACTACTGTTAAACACTCATTTATTGTGGAATAGTTCACTTCCACTGGTTGTAAGGTAAAGCTGATATATATAATGGGATGGCACTGACTAAGCATACTCAAGCTCTCTTACATCAATATAACTTCAAGATTGATATCAAAAATATCCTCATACAAAATGAAAGATCGAGTGTAGTCAAGATACGCCAAAACTGGAGAAGCTGTCAATAACTCTTTGAGATCCGTAAATGCCTACTCATAGTCCATAAACTAAAT